GCTTTTTCCAAAAACAGGCATTTTCCTGAGTGAAAATAGATTCTTTTTGTAACATGATCCATGAAAACATTAATGGTAAACATTCTTCATGTTAAGACAAGTAATTTCTGGGATGCTGTGCTGTGTAATCTTGTAAAGGTTTATTGACATTCTAGAAGAATGTATTGCTTCTGTCTTCAGAATCGAAGGGTATGCCAAGCTAGCAAGCATCTGCCCAATAGGCCCTATTTCCCCTTCTGCTTCCTGGTATTATCACGCTCCATACACTGCCTTAAACTTTAGTTAACGTCCTGTCTGGCCTTCCACCCATTCCAGGGCTCTCTTTTCTGTTCCACTTTTGTTTTTCATCCCTCTCCATAACCTTTCTTCATTTCCAGTCATTATTTTATCAGTCTTCCAACTTACATCAGGGCAGAACATTTGGGATGTTTTCAGAATGAGTGCCTTGGTGTTCACCTAAGAATGGGGTGTAAGTAACACAGGAGTGAGGAAAATGACACAGTAAGAAGTGTCATAATAACTTGTATTGTCCCCATATGTTGTTAATATCATTAATGTGGACCGAACAAGTAAACATTTGACAGTCAGTATAATGACTGATCTTAGCAGGTTCTTTGTGTTAGAAACTTTTGTTGCATATATCTAATTAAATATTATACAACATTTCTTTAGCATTGCTTCGGATTGAACGAGTGCGGGAAGCTGTCAGAAATCTGGATAGATCCCTAGAAGAAAGGTTACATTCCCAAGAGCTGATAGGTTCAGTCACTGATGTTGAGTCTGAAGACAAGATCCACATAAAATCACGTAGCGTCACCTTTAGTTGGCAGAGAGGCATCAAAATTGGTAAGTCTTGGCTTGTACTGCTTTCAGTATTTATCAGCAATAGACATCTGTTATACCACAGTAATGTTAGTGGACCAGTAAGGTGCCCTGTTATGGAGTCAAGAGTGATTACATTATATACATATAGTTTGTGTGGTATCTTGTTCAAAGGCCACCCAGTTTTTATACCAGCATCTTATGGGCAGTCTGGTTCAGAGATGCAGTTTACAGGCTTGCAAAGACAATTTGAAAATTAGCTGGTGGATTATACTTTTATTAGACCTGCTTTATATCACAAGCAGTAGAAATAATTTGCACTGGAATTTTTGTTGTAGAGGGCCCCATTACTAATTTTTTTAAATACTGTACATCAGAAACTGAGTCATTACACAAAGGTAAAGAAGTAAATCAAATGACTGAATATTCATTTGGCCATCTTGTAATTATTTATGAAAACTGCTAATTTGATTGAAACTTTTTGAGCTACTGTGTAGGGAACAAAACTTAGCATCTTTTTCTCATTATAATGAACTAAAAAGTGTTGGGGATTTATTATGTTTGGATGTTTATTTAGGGAATAAGGAAAATGTATATTGGATGAATTTCTTGTACTTACTTCATAACAGCGCATTACTTTTTGTGTGGAAATTGTTGTGGAAAAAACGTTTTTGAGGGGAACAGGCCTACTTGTAATGGTAGAAATTAAAAATATTATACTTCTGCCCATTTCCCCACTCCCCCACAATCTCTTATATCTGAAACAGTGAAATCAGGAGTAGGTGAAACGGTATCTTTTCATCACTTGAACTGATTACTGTAAACAAATTATGCTTGTTGTAAAGAGTAACAAATATTCAGGTTTTTGAAACCCTGAGAATCAGTTTTCTATGTGAATTTGATAAATCTGAGCTCACATGTCATAATATAATAATTTCATATCATAACATAAAGGTTGGTGATCATAGACATCTTCATGATGTGAAACTGATTCTGAATATTGTGTAGAATGATTAAATTCTCTGCGGGTGTACTGATTCATTGGAGGGCTATCATCTTTTCCTCCATTTTCTTCATACCATATAGATTCAGTACTGAGAATGTCAATAAAGAACCACTTTAAAAAGAAAGGAAAAAGTCAGAATCTTCCTCAGTGATGGTCTCTTCTTGACCATGTTTTTTATGTCCTGTAGCATTCCTATGGAGTGGTTGCACATTGTTCTTGTGGACACTGGAATGCTTCCTTCCTTGGATCTTGCTAGTTTTGTTACTCAGTAGTGTGGGATCTTGTACTGTCAGATGCGAGTGCTTGCTTGAACGTACTGAGATGCGTGATTTCATGAGGGAGTAGCCTGGACCATGCCAGTCATACCAGTACATTCCCTGGTACTCAAACGTTTCTGGGAGCTCTCCATTCAGGTATCGGCCATTCAGGTTGCTGCAAAGAAATAGGTTTAACATTCATTTGGTTTTGTTGCTTTTCTTCATAATATTTGGTGAATGTTTTCCTAAACTGACAGATTTCTAAGGCTTCTACATTCAAGACTAGCACTTCTTTATTGTACCCAGGATCTGGGAGACATGTTAATACAAGTAGTAAAAGCTAACTGCATCTTAATAATGAAATATATTTTGTGTCAAAATGCATGAAATACTGGTAGCTTGTTTTCTGTGAATCTTTTTGGCCAAGTTTCCTTCTTTAAATGGAAAAAAGTGTGCTTATGAAATCACTATGGGTGTGTGTGTGTGTGTGTTTGTGTGTGCACGTGCGCATTCGCGCATGTGCGACATTTGCCCAATTCAACTTTTGAACCAGCTGACTGATTTTCACAAAATTGTATATGAAGGTTATGCCATTGGAGACCATCCCGCTTCCTGTGATCAGTAGTAACAGTATGGCAGATGCAGGAGGTTGTGAGGTAGTAGCGACACTATTGCCACACATATTAGAGTCCTGAAATGATGTGTCAGGGAAGAATGTGCATCATTGTTTAAGATATTGTTCTTGTGGAATGTAAAAAAATGTGATGGCCAAGAAAAAGTTTTCTTTGGCTTTAGGTGTGATGGACGTAACTAATCAACTGATGGAGCTAGGGTTGTGAAATCTGATATGAAGTTACAGTCGATCTTAAACATACCTGCACTGTATATGTGAAATATTGTTTGTAAGTCAACAATTATAAGCATGGTAATGTGAAACCTTGCAATTTCTTACTTATATACAACAAATTTAATATATATATATATATATACAAGGTGCGGCAATAAAGAAACCGGATTCATGCTCTAACCCTTTATTGAAAAAAAATCAGACAATCAAAATGTTATCCCCTGCAATGTAGTCCCCTCCCCAATCCCTACGCCGCTCCATGCGAATTTCCCACTGTTGGAAGCAGTGCTGCAGGTCATCTTGTGTTATGCTCTTCAAGAGTTGCGTTGCTTTTGCTNTGCGTTGTCTTGATGAAGAACCCATGAGGCATTCTTCCACATGTCTGGTCTCCTTTGTCGCACATGTTCACGGAGGGTCGTCAAAACATTTTTACAATAAACCTGATTGACAGTCTGACCTTCAGGCACCCAATCAATGTAGATTACCCCCCGGGATATCGAAAAAAACAATCATCATTGCTTTGAATTTGGACTT